ATATTTAATGAGCACGCATTGTTTCAATATTCATTCATCGCATATATTCTAAACACGTATATTTGTTTCATTCGATACTCCGAGAAGATAAGTTTTTTCTTAATTATCAGGAAAATTTTTGTATTAAAAATATAGAACGATTCTGAATTTTTCGTGTAATATCAGCCACTAATACGCGCGCACTAAGCAGTTTTTGTATAAAGTAAGAGTCATTAGATAAGCAGCCAGTAAAGAAACGTTTCTATGTCATTTCATGTATTCAGCATCAGACATTAAATTAATTTTCCAAATTACAAGTTATTAAATGCAATTTTACTTCAGAAAATTCAAATTTTCATGATTGGACTTCATTTTCACTCCTTACGATTGAATGACAATTTATGGACCTCGAATTTCGTTTGTTTTTCAATTGAATAATTATGAAGATACATGCACTCAAATACAAATATTACAATTATATAAGTGTAGGGGAATTTACTTTGATGTGTGAAAGTCTTTGTTCCGTGACTTTACAGTAATAACTATCGAATAATTAAAAACAATGACTTTTTTGTTTCCACGTAAATTAACAACTGCTGTATCTTTTTCGTAATTATAATACTTTACTGAAAAGCATTTATATTTGTTTACCGATTACTCTTAGGGTTGTTAATTACTCATAATTTGTTAAAATTGCGAATTTTCAAATTTTAATAACATTGTAAAATATTAACTCTCAATTAGCTTAAAAAACATTGTTAACTCTTATAGCATTACAAATATATAATACAGTATATAATTATATATTACATAATTTTTGCAATATACATTTTAGTAAATTGTGTACAGTTGTGTTATATAAGTCATTTACTTTCAGAAAAGAACACGGGTCGTTCAACGAGAGCAAATTGAATCGTTTAAACAACCATCAACAAGTCTTCAAAGACCACAGTCAATTGAATTTGAAGAAATTTCATCAGAAGAGAACCTTTTTACTTTAAAAGACTGCGAAGAATTCTTTGAAAACATTGACGTCTATTTAGGAATTATCCAACCAAAGTTACCTAATTCAGTATATAATTATCTAATATTAAATAATTTTATGCAATCCACATTTTAGTAAATGTTGTACAGTATTGTTATTTGTGTTATTTACTTTCAAAAATGTACACAAGACGTTCGGCGAGAGCAGAAAGAATCGTTTGAACAACCATCAACAAGTTTTCAAATACCAGAGTCAATATAACTTGAAGAAATTTCATCAGAAGATAATTTTTTCACTTCAAAAGAAAGTGAACAATTTCTTGAAAACGTTGACGTCGATTTAGAAATTATTCAATTGGAATCATCGTCGCAACTGGACTTTTTTCCAGAAATAGACGTTGAAGATAATTATTTGGAATGTCCGTTCTGTAGTGAACAATTTTTAGACGAAGTTTCACTAAAAGAACACGAAAGAAACTCTCATCCGTCTGATTAATTAATTCTGGACAACTAATTTCCAAAATGTATTTAATAAGATATCAGATTATTAATATTTTGATATTTAATAACAAAGGAAAAATTAAATATTTAGTAAAGATGCTTAGTTACAGTTCGCGAAGTATGTGAAATCGTCGTAGAAATATACATGTAATTTAATTTATAGCGAAAATGATTTGAAAGAAACTAAATTTATTAAGTTATGTTTTTATATTTATTGCTTCAGAAATGAAAAGATCTAAACATCGAAGTTACACTTAATTTTTATTTTACATTTGTAAAATTGGTATACTTTAATTGATTAAATTTTAATTAAATTTAAAAAGTTGCACGTTTTTGTCTCTTTTTAAACTAGACTGTTTCAAGTTAATTATTCTCTTCACTTTATTTATCTTGTAAGCCATTAGCTTTTTTTTCACTGTAAAAAGAAAATACAAATAGACCATAACGGACATACAGAATTGAACATAGTTTAAGCTTTTGATAGAGTCTTTAAGTTGTTTGTAGGTTTACAGACTTTTTTATTTTTTACTAAAGCGTTTCAATTATATATGATTTGGTAGATAGGCGATTTTTCGAGGAAGCGTAGCAGACGTTTCTCAGTTGATAATCAACTGACTGTTCACATAACAAAAGTGTAGTAATAATTCCATGAAAAACACGAGTAAAAAAGATGCCATAGACATTTTTTAGAGTATTTGTTGATTCTCCTTTTTTTATTGTCTTTGTGACCAAAGAGACTCTTTCCAAGGTAAAAAACAAGAATGAAAATAAATTTTCATGGATGGAAAATTTAAACTCACGAACTTTGGTTAAACCACAGTAAACGGTCGAATTTATTTATCCATTCGAGTCGGTTGGTTATGATCTGCTATTATTGTTAAATTTTCAGAATAATAAAATTTATTAATTTACTAGCAGGTAGGTCCGGCGTTGTTCGGGCAACACGACACAATATAAATAAAATATGAATTTTAATTAGGAAAATATTTTTGGAAAATTTACTAGTGTTTCTTTACCCTTTACTCTGGGGGTGCCATTGCTCACCCCCTGCGTGCACCACTAGATCTTCGTGCCATTTTTATAAACGATAATTTGCGAGGTTAAAAAATACGCATCGTTGGCTAGTAGTAAGATTCTGAAACACTGCTTGGTGTGAAATAGCCAGCGAAATCACGACTTGAATTCCATCTATCATATATGGGATATGCTTGGGATACGTTCAGTTTTCTGTGCATAACCCTTCCCAGAACATTTAACAGCTACGCATGTCTGCCTATTCAGGCGTATAAACATGAATGGCTAGATACCTCAAACCGTCATAGATGATGATATTCATGGCATGAATCGACCCTGTAGGAACATTTTCTTGTAAAAGTGATCACATTCCGTACTGACAGACCTCTTCCAGTAAACTTTGTTGCTGCCCAAAATCCTATTATTTTGTTTACATGTAATTTATATATTAATCATTCATGACCAAGCTAGTGTCATTTGTTACATTCTGATTTGGAATATTTTCTTTCTATTCGCTTTTTTCACATGGTTGCTTAACTTTTAGACGCGAATATATTTTTGTATCCGACCATTTAAATTCTCCGTACAATTCTCCGTACAATTCTTCTGTTTTCAACATAGCATACCATGCTAATCCTACTGTTGATTCCAGATTATAGTACCAGATTTATATGTTTTAATGCAAACGTTTATGAAATTCTCGAATATATCAAACCGTCTCTTCTCACACACAAATCTGAATATTTTCCCAAATATGTAATATTCAATTTTTTCCACACTTGTTCAGCATCATCGTCTGTTATATTAGTTTGATTAAATTCGCTATAACATATCTGTTTTTGTGGTAATTGCGGTTCTTGACAATTTCATGCGTTGTCCACATAGATTAATAATGTGTGTCTTAGACAATGGTGATTGTTGAAGACCAGTTAACATGGCAAACATTAATGTGGCATAAGGTCAACACAGTTTGATTGCTGGGTTTTTCTCTATTAAATATTGTATGTTAAACATTGTGGACATAATTATCTAAATTTTGTTCGTACTTTATGTCAATGTATGTTTTCTTGCAAAGCGAAAATGTACATTACAGAATATACATAAACATTTTTGAATGTTAAATGAAAAGTTTTCTACTTCATTTTTGCAACGAGTATAAAAATTATAAAGAATTACAAAGCACTTTCAAGAACAATGAACATTGAACTTTCAAGGCCTCCATGAGTAAACTCGAATAAGCCTACTGTTTAAACCCAAGTATTCTCGTTTACAATGTACAGTATTATATGTTTCAACTGATAGATGGTGTCGATTTTGCTAGAATTTTAAAAAATATGGTGATACTTAATATAATACATAACTTAATATAATACATATAATTNATGGCATCTTGAATTGCACAAGAGTCCCTTGCTTTTACAACTGCATTTATTCGTGGAACACTTTTTTTTGCAATGACAGCGTGTATAGCTTTGCCCTCCACTTTTCGAATTAGCTGCAGCTGCTTCTCTCAGCGATATTTCTTGAGAAGAAATCTTACCTATGGAAAATTTTCTTTACAAATTACGAACTGATTACGGGTGTAAAGCTGCTTGAGGGTATCATTTTTGTTTGCTAATTTATAAAAGTCAGAGTCTTCTATTCTAACAACAACTGCCAACACATTTCGGGCATCTGTACGGCCACGGTCAACATCAGGGACTTGTATTCGTACGGTATCACCAATTTGAGCAGAATTTCCTTCTGCTCAAATTCGGCGAAGAATTTGGCGACAGACTGTCGCCTCTCCGTCGACATCGGCTTCTCGGGTGTCGTTTCGAACTCCACCAAAGCTTATCTGTGCTTGTCGACATACACCGGCGATTGTTCGAATGTATAATAATATAACAAAATATTCAATCTTTCACCGACGTATTTTGTGTGTCGACATTCACCGGAGAATATCAACATTCTCTAATTTCGGTCTTTCACAGTAACAACTATATTCACAGCCATTATAATTGTAATTGTATGGCTTCTCGTTTGAATAAACTACATGTAATATGCCTTATGACATATTACTACTATATGGCACATTATAACTACGCTTATGGCATAAATAAATAAATAAATAAAAATAGAAATATAAAACAATAGAAGTAAAAATATAATTTTGAATATATTTCTTATTTCAGCAGTCCAAATACCCAAAAATTGTAGGCATTCCCATTCGTGTAAACTCGCACACTCCGATTGAGTATCACCAAACCGTGCTTTTCCTGTTACTGCTTATTGTGCGGATTAATTAAAATAATAATAATTCAAAAATAAGTTAAACGAAAAACACAAATAGCGTTACTCTATTTGTTCCCTCACATTCGTTTCTCCAATACAGAAGATGTATGTATCGTTTTGTGTTTTCAATTATTTTTAAGTTCGAGGACATACGCAATTAAACATGCTTAATATAATCAAAACATAACAATCAAGAAATTACATTATTTCGGTGTATTGTTGTATTCTGTTTTAACAAAATTTCATCTTAAAATTAATAAACTGAATTCGATAATAGAATCAAAATAAGTAAAATAATAATGGTAAGTGAAATCTTTCATTTAATTTGTATAATACATTTTGAATTTTCCAAACTGTTTTATTGAAAATTAACGAAATAACACAAACTATCAATTTCAATTTTATATCGATGATAGAGTACATATTAACATAATCTTACAATATTACAACATAATAATACAATATTAACGTAATCTTATAATATGTAACAATAATTTACATTAACGAGAATAATTTTTATATATGTTTTTTACTAATTATTTATATTTATTCAACGCATTGTTTTAAAAGGACAGAAAACATTTATGCCCGACATGTGGGAAGACATTTCTTCATCAAAGTAATTTGCAAGTACACATGCGAATTCACAGGAATGAAAGGCCGTATGAATGCAATTTGTGCGAAAAAAGCTTTACGCAGAAGACTCATTTAGCAAGGCACATGAAAGTGCACTCGGATGAAAAGCCGTACAAGTGCAATTACAATGGCTGTGGAGAAAGCTTAAAACGGAAAAAATACTTGAAAGAACACATGTACGCATTGCATTCTGATGAAATTTTATCTAAAGTAAATATTACGACAAGTTCCTATATTTTCATTTTCGTTTTTATTTTTCAATTATCAAAGCGATAAAAGTTATAAAATAAACAGACAATACAATTGTACAGGATAATATAAAACCTTCAATTAATATTTCAAACAATACTCGATGCAACTGTGTTTATTTTCACGAACAAATATTAAAATAATAATATCAATAAGCAACTGTAAATTTCATTATTGTTCTTTTGGCGCTGGGAAATTTCACCTTCGATAAAAAACCATACATTAACTACGTTTCTTTGTATTTTTTGTGCAAACCCGTTTTCTGCACGTAACTATTTCTAATTAATCACACATAAACATTTATAAAATGGGATAGACGTTAACCATAATTAACTTTTTGGTGTAATTAATAACCTATGATCAATGTGAATAATAGAAAATTTTAATTACAAGAATGTTAAATTCACAATTATTACTCTTATAAATGATATTCCCATTGATAATAATTAATACATCTTCGTGTTGTTATTTTCTAATTTTATATTTGCATTTTATAATGAAACACACCAGAAAATCTTATTTTATTGTTCACTCTATTATCAAGTCACCGTTAAAATTAAAAATGGTATTGTTTTTTTAAGATTAAATTCAGATTACAGTCGAAAAAACTTCCAAAAACAGTTGTTCGTAACGTGCGTAATTGCTAGTGTCAATAAGAACATGTAAGCAAATTACTCTGCGCACCTCGTTAGCTCTATTTTTATAAAATAATTTTCTATACACATGATTTAATAAAACTTGAACATAATGTTTTACAAATAACTCTAACATCATGACAATGAAATACATGGTGGAAATCACTTGAAAACTGTATTGTATAAAATTGTCCTGAAGTTCTTGCGTTTTAAAAGTTACGTTTTATGTTTTTATACTGGGTGGGTCAGAATTTGGAGGAATAAAAATTTGGGAGATTGTGCAGGATGAAATTTTGAACGTTTTGATATCAGGAACCTATAGCCGGAAATGTAATATAATGTTTCCACATCACTGTGCACGTTTTATGCCATTGATATGCTGAATGAAACAGCAGAATAGAGTATTTATTACAAGTTTTATTGACAAAACGGTAGAGTACAAGCAAAGTGTACATCGAATCAGTGGCTACACTACTTTACATTAAATTTTCAATGTGACTGCCACCAATTTCATTACATAATGTGCAACGACAAACCATGTCTTGTCCGACACTCTGTAAGATGCCACGCTCTCTTCTGGTGGTATTAAATGCTGTACTCAACGTCCTGTGCACAAGTTCAGTTAGACCACTGTAGTTGTGTGTTTAGAGTTATCCATTTGCAGCAATAACACGACGTCAATTGGGCGGAATAATATCTACCAAAGTGAAGGGCGGTCAAGCACTCCCTACCGCTCTAGACACTTTACTTCAAATTTCTGGCTATAAGTTCCTGTTATCGAAACGTTTAAAATTTCATCTTCTACAATCTCCCAAATTTTTAAAACGTCATTCAGATACAATCTGTATATTGTTAACAGTAAACTAAATTTTTTTAAATAATTAGATTCCACCGAACGACCCGAGAATAATAAGCCGTAAATGTAACATCTGCTCAAAAGTTTGTGCATGTCCTGCAGCTTTAAAGACTCACTTGAAAACTCACACTGGCCATTTTCGTGTCATTTTTGCAACGGCATTTTCACTACCAAAAGTAGTTTAAACAGACACATCAGAAGAGTCCATCCGAAAGAAAAAACTCCATCTGGCACCGAAGTAAGTGTATAAATATGTTAATGACTAAACTTTTAACACATAACACATTCATTCATCGCATATATGCTAAACACGTATATTTGTTTTATTCGATACTCCGAAAAAATAAGTTTTTTTCTTAATTATAAGAAAAATTTCTGAATTAAAAATATACAACGATTCTGAATTTATCGTGTAATATCAGCCACTAATACGCGCACACTAAGCAGTTTTTGTTTAAAGTAGGAGTCATTAGATAAGCAGCCAGTAAAGAAACGTTCATGTATCCGAGATGAGACATTAAATTAATTTTCCAAATTACAAGATATTTAATGCAATTCCACTTCAGAAAATTCAAATTTTCATGAATGAACTTCATTTTTACTCAATACGATTGAATAGCAATTTATAGATATCGAATTTCGTTTAGTTNTTTCAGTGTTTAATTTTCTTAAAATTCTTATTTTTAAATAAAAATATATGTTTTTGAAATGTCATAAGTGAAATTTTCGTACATTTGAAATACATTCTGGGCATTATTTAGAATAGAAATGTTTTGATAAATTTCAATGAATTAACTGTTTAACTGGAGATTGAGATCCCTAACTTACTCTCGGTTTTGTTACTTTCGAACCTAATGTTACTCGACAAAAATTTACCATTTATCAAATTTGTTTTCCTGGTGTGGCTATTGTTCATAATGTTCGGTAACTTTGATTAATTAAATAACTGACTGGTGTGACTATTTTTATAAGTCGGTAAACTATATGAATTTTTGCTTTGAAGGGTCTGATTAATATTTATTTAAAAAACACTTGCGATTATGCTACTGTCGCAGCTAAATATAACACATGATTCGATGTGTATCAACAAGTCACCAATTACACCAATTACGTTACATGAACTTCATCTGTCATTTAAGACTTAATTACAAACTACGTTAAATTTAAAGGGAAACCCATACCACAATTCTATTTAATTAAAACGTGAATTCTAAAACTATAATTTGTTTCTAAAGAAGGAATGGAATAAGAACCGTTGACGTGTAGGAATGTCTTCAATATGATATTGCTTATGAAATAGTATTACACATTGTTTCAATATTTATTCATCGCATATATTCTAAACACGTATATTTGTTTCATTCGATACTCTGAGAAGATAAGTTTTTTTAGTGATGTAACGAATATTCGGTTACTATTCGGTATTCGGCCTTTTCGGCCGAATATCGAATATTTAATCACTATTCGGTCGAATACCGAATACCTAAAAGCAAGAGTAATAAATAACAAAAACACAGTAAATTAATTATTTTGGTATTTAGATTTAATGTTATCGAGTTAGTGTTGTTTGTTTATATTTATTTATAATTTGTAGCATGCACAAAATAAAAAAGAAAATAATATTAGTCACTTGTATTCACAATTTATAATTATAAAGATCAGCACACGTACACACCTATTCGTTCGAGAATCGTCGCACATTTGAGGATCTGACCCTGCCTATCCTTCTTTTTAAGCGCTCGTCTTTGCTCTTCCCTTTCTCTTTCCTCTATCGCTCTAATCCATGTATGCCTGTGCATACATCATAATACGCGCTCACAATACTTTCGATTCGTCACTTTTCCGTCGTAGAGTTCCCATTTTACAATTACGTGACTCAGCCTGGTGATAACGGAGAAAAGAGACAG